GGTGCCTCAGATCCTCCTCTTCTCTTCTTCTTTCTGTTCCTTCATTTCATTTTATTACCATGGGGGGCAGGACTTTTAGTTGCTCTGCCCCTCGACTACCCCCTGACCTCAGAAACATCCGTTCTTTCACCCTTTTTGTCCACCCTCAAAACCCACCTGTTCAAGTACTCTGTGTAACTACTCCATGCTCTTAAACTTTGTTTTATTATTGTGTTCATTTCCTGTTTTTATGCTTGTCTTCTTTGTTCTGTAAAGTGTCCTTGAGTGTTTTTAAAGGCTTTTTTTTTTCTTGAATATGAGGCCAAAAAATGAAACTGTTGCAGAATTACAACAGACGTTATTTTTGACCACAGTTTTACAAGTTGTACTTTCCAGACTTGAGGCTCATTGAATGTTTTATCTACAGTGCCCAGGTGAAGGTGTTTGTAACGGGTCTATTCAGCCTCAATCAGGATATCCCAGCCTTTAAGGAGCACCTAAGGGACTTCCTTGTGCAGATCAAGGTGAGAAAATGGCCACAAAAAAAACTTGCCAGCTAGAAACTGACCAAGAAAGGTATAAGTGCAAAAATGAAGATGATTATATTCTTTGCCAACACAAAACAGTTTTATCTGAGCCAATGAGCAATGATTCATAGCTTGGATCCAAAGTATGCCAACCTTTGTGCTCAAATTTACATGAGCATAAAGATATTATTCATCAATGAAAACACTGCAGACACCTGCTCCTTAGTAGAAGAGTTGAATTTAAAAGCATTGGTGTTGAAACTGTATGGTTTAAGGAGCACAACACACCCAAATGAATCCAAATTTCCAAACCGTCTACTTGTGTGGTCTTGCAGGAGTTTGCTGGTGAGGACACGTCAGACCTCTTCCTGGAGGAGAGAGAGACAGCTCTGCGCCAAGCCCAGGAAGAAAAACACAAGCTCCAGATGTCTGTGCCCGGCATCCTCAACCCCCATGAGTTGCCAGAGGAGATGTGCGACTAAAGTGACCATAGCCCCTACGGACCAACTCTGAAGGGAGCAAAGACATTTCCTGTTGTTTTCCTTCCAAGTGTGGTTGTGTGCAAGTGTGTGTTGAAGAGAATTGGAGGGGGGGACCCCGGCACTCGGTTGTATGTCGACCAAATTCTGTCAATATGTAAATGAGAATCGCCCCTTATTACTACCCCCAATTCTGGCACAGATTCCTCCCCACCACCAGCTTCTTTTATATACATTGTTTATGTAACATGCCATCTTTTGTTACCTTCTTGCTATCAAACCTTTGTTTGGCCATGCATTCATTTAAACCTGCATGAAGTTGTAAGAAGTAATGGTTATTTTTGAACCTACTACATGCTTATTTCAACTTCCTTCCCACTTGTTAATATGTAATATATATATAATGTTGGAACACTTGCAATGGTTATGTGACAGATTGCTCCAGTTTCACAAGTGCCATGTGCACTGTGCAGAACGAATGTGATGTTCAAGGGGTCCATTTGTACTCCTTTGCTTCCTGTGTTTGTTGTTTTGGTTTTTGAGTGTGGTTGTTTTTGTTTCTTTTTCTTTTGTTTTGGCTTTCTGATAAATTCAGGGCTTCGGTTCCTCTGCTTTTGGATGAGTGCGTGCATATCATCCTGTTTGTAAAGCTGTCTTAGTACTCTGAAAATATAAAGTTGGCTATTTTTACAAAACATTCTGTATGATTCTCTTCTTTCTGTAAGCCTAACCTTAAGGACCTAAAAGTTTAGATAAGCTTGAGGTGCTACTGATATGTCAGATGAGATGCAGTTTCTAAGTGAATAATCACTACACTTAAAAAGCCACTGTGGTGCCCCAGTCATTGGAAACATTGGAGATGTTGAACTAAATCAACTTGCACGTTTATCCAAATATAGCACTTCTTTGATACTACAGAATGAGTAATAACAAGTTTTGTTATACATTTTAAAATGGATAATTTATACTTGAGTTCTGTGATATACACTGTGCAAAAAAGGACCACTTTTTAATTGAGTATAGCATCAAATTAACTAAATTCATTTTTTTAATATTGATCTGGTCAGTTAGGTAGCAGAGGGGGTTGATGATCAGTTTCAGTTACTTTGCTGTTAATGAAATTAACAGCAGGAGCAACACTGAGTCAACTCTGGCATCCTAGCATGACTGGGCCCCACACACACCTGATCTAAATTCTATACAACACGTGGAATGTTATGTTTCCATCCACACATATGATGCCACCAGGCTGCACCTCAAGACTGTCCAGGAGCTCCTCGGGGAGCAGATAGGCGCATTCTCCAATGTTGTCATGGCAGGCATAGAAACTGCATAGCGTTACTTTGAGTTGCCGCAATGAAATTTCTGCAAAATGGACCAGCTACCCACATACTTTTTCACTTTGATTTTGTAGGTGTCTTTGAAGTAGCACTTTGTAGGTTGATCATTTTCATCAAACGATGTAGCATTTTTTTGTTTGTTTGTTTGCAGCATTACTCACTCCATATCAGTGTAGGTATAAAAGACTTTCCAATGAGATCAGATGTGTTTGCTAAGTGCTGCTCTAATATTCTTGTTAAATAGTTTGGTCAGCCTATGTACAAGTTTGTTCTTTTTTAAAAGATTTTTTTTATTGGTAGAGACAGTGATAGACAGGAAATTGGGGAGAGAGAGGGGTGAGACATGTATTAAAGGGCCACGGGTCAGACTCAAACCCAGGCCTACTGCATTCCGGCCACATGGCCTTGCTCACCCAAGATCTTTTTTAAAAAACAAGTTCTCTGTTTCAGGTTGTTTTTTCTTCTACTTTTGGATTTGTATACAGGGGGAAATCCTTATATGTTCATCTAAAATATACATCTCTGGCTGTAGCAGGTGTTTGGATTGTCAACCAATCAGAAGAAAGTTGGATTAAACGGAGGTGGAAGGAAGTTAAAACAGCTGCCCCAAGGCCCCGTACAATATAAATAAGGATTATTTTTTTTAGCTGTGAATCAATGCAAAGCTACTATAATAGGGTCACACATACAAATATATGGCTGGAGATGAGCATAATAGGTTCTGCTATAAAAGTTGTGCTGCAAAAGTATCAAGGTTTGGGTTAGCAAGATTATCGCCTTCCTTTTTCCAGCTGCTTCCTTTTGGGGTGGACCCAGCTGAGACCAACTAAAATCTCCTTCCATCTCAGCTTATCCCTATAATTCTCTTCTGTCACACCAACCCAACAAAGACATGTGAGGTCCTCCCTCCACTTTTCCACCTGACAGCTCTGTATTTACTATCTTTCCCCCCAAATATCCACTATCCCAGTTCTGCACATGCTGAAACCATTTCAGCCTTGCCTAGTCGGATGGTAAATGGTAAATGGCCTGTATTTGTATAGCGCTTTACTAGTCCCTAAGGACCCCAAAGCACTTTACACATCCAGTCATCCACCCATTCACACACACATTCAGACACTGGGGATGACAAGCTACATTGTAGCCATAGCCGCCTTGGGGCGCACTGACAGAGTGCGCCGAATAATGT